GTGTGTGTGTGTGTGTGTGTGTGTGTGTGTGTGTGTGTGTGTGTGTGCTGAATACAAGCTCACTTTTCCAATAACATCAATGAGCAGCTTCAGGGAGATGGGATCGTGAACTAGGGAGTCGGTGTAGAAAGAACCGAGGTATTTCCTCGGACTGATCTTGTTGTCCACTGCACACAGGTCAGGGCGGACTTTGTGGCCGTGTTCAATTCTGCCAACAGTGAATGGAAAAGAGCCACCTGTAATCAGATGAACATGAGCAATAAAGGTCAAACAGTATCTGTAATTGAGCATCAAGTAAGAAAAAATGAAGTTGACGCTTGTATTACTCTGCTGTGACATCTGATCTTTACCTCCATGTGCAAAACAAACTTTCAATTTCGGAAATCTCTCCAAGACGCCTCCGAATATCATCGAGCAAATTGCCATGGTTGTCTCTGTCGGCATGCCTTTGGGATGGAAAAGACAACAAAACATAACCTGTCCTTTCTAAAGTACATTCATTAAGTGTCTTATTATAAGATAATATAAGTGTCTTTCAAAATATTCCTATCCTGATTAAAAAATATTTAAAAAAAAATCTTGATAAAAATATCATTTCTTTCATATGGGGGACCAAACCTAGTCGGATTAGTGTTGGGAAAAATCTAAATGACTACTTATTATGCGTTTAATAAGTAGTGAATGTTATACATTTAACAGAGGCTCATGTCCTCTGTAGTGTTTAAGGCCTGTGTCCTTGTGTGAACTATCTGGGACACCAGGCATCTTCAGCAGATGTTTAGTCTATTAAGAAGCAGTTGATTGCCGAAAGAACACTTCAGCTGTTTGTCCTGAATAAGAATGATAATAAACTTGTAGAAAGCGTCAATACTTACGCAGGGCTGATTTGCGACCATGATTTACGAGAAAGTGACCTTTGTACTAGAACGAATTGTTAAAGTGTCCGTAGACGCCTGTGTGAAACGCAAAATGTGTGTGTGTTACCCTGTGCCAGCCCACTGCATGTTGTTTACTTAGTATAAATACCAGAGACTCAGAGACAGATCTTGGAGCGGTGTTGATGTACATTCTGTATGTGAATCAACCCTGTCTCCTTCTTTAACAATTAGCAAGACTCAACTCCAAAGACCAAAGCGCGCAGGAGGCTTAGCTTTACCCAATTTTCTCTTTTACTATTGGGCATGCAATATCCAGAAGCTACTTCACTGGTTTGAAGACAGGCCAATTGTGGGAAAGGCGGACTGGGTACAAATAGAATTTTCCTCCTGTTGGCACCACCTCGGCTCAGTGGTCTGTGCAGACCTGCCTCTTCTTAGCAATAACTTGAGTACAAACATAATAGTAAATCACACAATAAGAATATGGGCTCAGTGTAGGAGACATTTTGGGCTGCAAGGAGCCTCCACCCGCTCCCCCATCAAATTGAATCATATGTTTATTCCCTCCTGTACAGATAACGCATTTACTCTATGGTTTGATAAAGGGATCAGATCAATCCATAATTTATACATAGAAGACACGTTTGCTTCATTCTCCCAATTATCACAAATCTATGATCTACCAAGGAACAATTTATTCCGCTACTTGCAGATCAGGAGCTTCGTACGAAACACGTTTGACTCATTTCCGAACAAGCCCATGAAATCTCATGTTGACAACCTCCTAGAACTGAACCCGAACAGTAGAGGATTGATATCCCAAACTTACGAGCTCATTAACAATATCAACCCACACTCCTTGGAAAATTTAAGAATGGCCTGGGACTCAGATCTGGGAGTGGTTATAACAAATGACCAATGGGACTCTATTTTAGACTTGATATATACATCATCTCCATCTGCTAAACACAACTTAATACAGCTAAAAGTGGTACACAGGGCTCATTACACTAATGCTAGATTGGCAAAAATTTACCCTAACTCTGATCCGTTATGTCCTCGATGTAAAGGCCAGCCAGCAGACTTGTTACACATGTTTTGGCTATGCCCGAAACTCTCCACCTTTTGGATAAGTATTTTTAAAGCTTATAGTGAGATGTTTGCAGCTCAATTTGACCCGGACCCAATTTGCGCACTCTTTGGCTTAATACCAAAAGACTTCCGTGCCCGTTTACCAAATAAAGCCAATGTGGGCGTAGCCTTCACAACACTCCTTGCTCGACGTTTGATCCTTCTGAGATGGAAGCAACGTGCCCCCCCATCGTTCTCCCACTGGGTCAAAGATGTCATGTATTTCTTGACACTTGAAAAAATTAAATATACTCTCAGTGTCCTCCCAAACCTTTTGTAAAGTATGGAGACCTTTTCTAGAATACTACGACTCCTTACAAGAACCTCTCAACAAAGACTAATGTGGATCCCCTATCCGCCCCATAGCAACAGTGAGCAGCCCCCCCTCTTTTTTTTTTCTTTTTTTTTTTCCTTTGTATTTTTTTTGTTTTCTTTAGCTATTAATCATTTTATTTTTTACATGTAACTTCTCGATATTATTTTTATTTTCCAAATTGCTTTACTTTGCCTGATCGATTAATGCAATTATTTGATATTATGTCTGCATCTCCGTCACCTGAATGTACCTGAATTTACCTGAATGTATAAGTTCCATAGCCTGTAACCCTGCATTGGGTGGGTTGGGTGGGTTGGGTGGGTTGGGTGGGCAGGGTCGGGAATGAGGTTTTAAATTTCAATCTGTAATTGCCCTCAGACATGTGTGAATCCTCTTCCCTGGTGGGATAAAAACTGTGAAAATCAATAAAACATATTTACAAAAAAAAAAAAAAGTATGAGTCATCAGGACTGAAATCGGTTAAAAGATTTAAATAAGTGGAAGTGGAAAATGAAAATATTACATTTTAAGGACTGATGTAAGGACATCAGAGCAACTTTTTTTAAAAGGCACATGGAAAAATACGATATTTGGATTTGATGACTTCATCTAACATTTTAGGAAATACTGTAATGTTGGACTTGCACTTTTGCCAGTGTTCTGTTTTTATATGCACAGATAACTAAACATGGTTCAATTTCAGCCACAAAGAAGTTACCTTAACAAGAAAAGTGTATTTTATTTTCTATTGACTTGAGAGAGGGGGGTGTTCAATATCTCCTGTTCCTACTCCATCTCCCTCACCTACCAGCCAGGGCAGCCAATACTTAGCCATCCTCCCATCTGTCTGCATGTCCCACGGGTGGACAAATATGGAGCAGCCCAGCTCCTCCGCTGCCTGCATAGAAGACACACCGCAAGATCAGCAATTCTATGTGAACGAGAACTTCACCCTCTGAATACAAAGTGTGAAATCAGTCAAACCAGTGAACAGTTTGTAACTACCAGAAACATGTCATCACATGAACATGTATACTGCAATATTCAAAGTCTCACAGCATAGAAAGGAAAGAGTTCAGCGGCGTTGAGGTCCCAGTTGTTGATCCGTGAGCCAATCTGCACCCCAGGGAAGCCCAGCTCCTTCACACAGCGCCTCATCTCCAGCACGGCCAAGTCGGGTGCTTGCATGGGCAGAGTGCCCAGACCCACAAACCTCTTGGGGTGACTGTGCACTGTCCGGGCCAAATCGTCATTTAAAAGGACACAGAGGTCCAGTGTGTCATGAGGTTTGGCCTATAATCCAAAAATAAGATGAGAATAGGTAAATATATCTGAAAGGTATAACCACTTCTATGATGCCCATTTCTATAATGCATTATAAACATACTTATAATGCGTGTAATTGCATCTTTTTTGCAAGGGTCATAGTTTATTATTATTGTCATAGTTTTAATGCTCTATAATGTTATTATAGGTCACTTAAAGTGGTCACTGTAGTTTACTTTACTTAAAGCAAACAATGGCCATTTATAATGACTTATAATCACATTATAATGCATTCGAACAGTGATTTAATATCTATTACAACAATGGGAATTATAATACACTGTGATCCTTGCAAAACAATGTCAGTGAGCAATTTTGAAATAATATGATACTTGACGTTATTAGGCCTACTGAAATGCTTTATGATTATTGTTATAAAGCATGATCAATATTTATGTGTGCTTATCATTTACTCAGTGCTATTAGCAAATTATAATGCATTACAAGTATGGGCAACATAGAAAGTATTACCAAATACAATTTGAATAATAAATTCTTCATCCCAGTGTTGATGCTTCTCTGGCTGAAGAAGGATAAAGACAGTGAAGCAGCTTTGCAGACAATAAGCCGCTGTGGTGTTTTAATGTAATTTTTCTCATGTTTCAGCAAGAATGAACAAATGCAACTCACAGTAATTTGGGGGCGCAGTAAACCGCACAGCAATAAAACATAACAGCTACACCGTTTTTGATCCATGTTGCATAATTAATGTGCGCTTACCCAGTAACTGAACATCACAGGAACAGTGGAAAGGGCCTGAACTGTGACTCCTGAAGGGGTTAGAAACAGAAAGGCATCAATGAGATGAAACACTGTGGCACTTGTTGGTGTCTCGCATATCTGTGCATGTACCATGTTGATCCATGTCCCATATGCGTGCGTCTGCATCCCAGCAGTTCTCTTGAATCACTCTGAACAGCTTTCCATCCTTCATCATGTCTGCTTCGCCCTGAAAGACAACATGATCAGCAGTCACATCCCCCATGTTGATGTGACTGTGATTAAAAATGTTCCTCCACAGAGTCCGGACACCTTGGCAGCATACATTGCTCTTGTTAACCATTTCATTTCCAGCTTTCAAGCTGACTTTTTGGGGGATTTCATAATACTTCAAAACCACATGATGGCAGCAGACAGCTGATTCATGGAAAACGTACGAGATGTGAACTGTCATTTACACCTGACATTCAAAATTTCTTTATAGAGGTGTATTCAAATGCAGACACAAAAAACACCTGGACAGTGTTTTCCCCTGTCAATGGCTGTACCTACACCTGTGTTACAATGTGACCTGGAATCCTCACAGATCTTGTTCTAACATTGACATCAAGACTCTAACAGATGCTCATCACCAGACACGGTTTACGGTTGAGTGCATCAATGTGTCACAGTCAACCATCCGTCCTTATGTGCAGTTCGCTGGTGCCAAAAGCTCAACCAATGTCGGCCACGGAAAGTTGCATTGGCTGCCCTGCGTTGTTCTGCTGCGCTGCGGTGGTATTTGAAGGGAATCTTTCCGCTGATGCAGTGGCACCGTGCTGAGTCCTGCAGCTGCTCACATGTTGAGGACTTGAAAAGGTCCACAGGGTGGGGGTGCAGCCGGGGGAAGGTAACTCGCTGTGCCCTGCACATTGTGTGCAGTACAATTGCATAAGGGCTTGTCTACCCTGTCTGTGCATGCATACAGGAAAATAAACAGCAGCTCACCTTGCAGTGATGGTGCAGCTGGACAAACCCATCATATCCATACCTCTGAAACACATGCAAAAGAGTTATTATACTTAATAATTGAGTAAGGTTTTCTTATACCACATACTGGAAAACAAATTGTTTATTATCTTACATCTCTGGTGTATTTAATTTAGATGCAAAATCTGTATAAAAGTAAACATAGTTTGGTATCCAACACGCGTCCTGCTGTGGGAAAGCCTCAATTGTGTTATCCCATCTGCCAGGGGTTCAATCTTCATCCTTCAGGACTATCCACTCCAATGCCCTGGATAACTCAAACTGAGTGCCATCTGAGGCCGTTGAGTCTTTTACATACAGATGATGTCGCCAATGATCTCCATGAGCAATGCAGCCAGTAAAGCCCTATTTCATATCCCTACACATCCGCAGCACAGTGTGCTTTGTTCATGCCACAGAGAAGCTGCAGCTATTTAAAATGTATTTTATACACTTGTTTTTTAAAACAAGTCTTTGTCTTGAAGTAGTTATTTCTTGGAAACGTGCTTTCAATGAAATGCATGCGTACCAGCTCAACAGCGGAGTTTCTTTGAGTTAACCCTGATGTTCTCTTTTTGGGTTCTGAGTAACTAAGTCCTCTCAAGCAGCTCAGACAAATAGGTATTATTGTATTATCACCTTGCTATTTCATCAAAGTGAAGCGAGGACAAGCTTCAGAAGTACATTTCTTTGTCTGTGAATGACTTTTTGGCTCAGTTTGTGCAAAGGGAAAAGCTACCGCTTCAATACTACTTATCTTCATTTGGGGTTTTTATTCATTTGGAAGGAAAGGCAGAATTTATTTTTGCAATTATTAATAATTAATAATAATAATAATCCCATTCATCATATGATATGGATATGAAGAAAGCCTCAGTGGTGCAATAAATCGAGACTCACAGAGTTAATCCTAAATGTGTCACTTCTGCTTATATAAGCCTTTAGTTGTTTATCAAACATCATGCAGAAGTGGTAAAATACAGTATTATTTCAGTGTAACATGCAAAGTTTTGATTTAACCCCCCCCCCTGCAGAAAATACCCGCTGGCCTTGCATGTGTTCAAAGCCAAAACATCTCAAGAAGCAGAGAAGCTACTTCATAACTCATTATACGGTAACATGAATAAGACAGGCATGACTTGTTATGTTACAATATACATTTCCTGGGAAAAAAGAAAGACCATCTCTGTCCGGCACTGAACATGTCAAATCATTAGCCAAGGCCAGGCCTCCATAATAACAAACACATACGACCAGGAACAGATAACAGAAAGAACAGGGCAGAGCAAGGCCAAATCCACCTATTGATTAAAGTTTAACCATCCATAGTGAAAACAGATTTATGGAGTGAGCTGTTAAACTCCCTGCTGACACTCCAATGGGAAAAGCATGTACACTTTATTTTACTGGCTTTTAATTGCATTGAACTGAAGGAGAAGCTCCTGCGTGCTGCAGACCCAACCAACCACACATTGTGTGGATTTACTCCGGAGGCTCCAGGCTGTAAGAAAAAACTCTCAGGTCCTCAATGACCTCACGTCTCTCGGTGCCTACCTGCTTCAAATTGGGCCACTCCTTTGGTAAAATATGATTATGGATGTCAATCTTCATCCTTATGATTACCCTCTGGAAAAACACGGCTGTCTGCTGCCAAGGATTACTTGCTGTGAGCGCCTATCTAGCAAATTCACTCTCCACCCTCCGCCCTCAGCCATAACCCAATGACCGACAGGTGACTGCATGGCTGCTGCTGGGACACCCTGGTCATTCATTACCTAGTCTGTAAGACAAGCAGAGAGTAATCATTAGTCTGTGGAGGCTATTAAACCTCGTAGGCCTACGATATATAGTTGATACCCTGAACCATTAACTGATAGGCCTATTACAGCCTCAAATATTATTCACTCCCTACCCCAGTTCAACCATGAACACACACACACAGACACACACACACACACACACACACTAGTTTAAAGCAGCATTACTGTGCAGCTGACTGCCTGCGTTATGCTGAGTCAGAGTTTTGTAGTTCCATAATGCATGTTCGGATGAAGTAAAAGGACGCATTTGCATTATTATTACCTCTGGCGTTTGCTCGCGGTAACTATAAGCTGCTGCACAGTTAAAAATCACTGACCCACAGAATGTAGAGCAAACTAAAATGTGCATTTTCTAAAGACAATGTGTGTGTGACAGCTGCAAGCTGTTAGGCGCTTCTGCAAGCTGCTTATAAACACCAATGTTTTACATCTTTTAGTGCCACCTACAGGTGAAATTGTATCAAATGCTTCAGACTTTGCAGAATTTTGTTACCATGGAATATTACATTCAAGAGATATGGCAGTTAATAATTACTGTTACTAATACTAAGTTTTATTTATTAAATGTGAACAGAATTGAAGGAAATAGACGGAACCTAATACCTCAAAGCAGAAAAGAGAAAAAAACTTCCGATCAGTCATTACAAATGTGTCTATTTTTTCATCTACTTTGTTTAATTGCTTGATAAAAAATAGCCTTTCAGTTAGTTCTCCAGTGGAGCCATAAAAAAAAAAATTCCGGACGACAATGCCAAATGTAATGAAAGTAAAAGGTAAAATACAGATGTTGCAATCTCCAAAATGAAATATCAATATAATGTCACTTAATCAGAGTTGTGATGCTATTGCTGAATGAAGCGCTATCTGCAGGGGAGAGAAGCAAAGTTGAAATGCAGGGATTGTAGTAGGCTGGAGCCAAAACAGAATTACACTGTTACAAAACATAAACCTGTGCAACAAGCATGTATGTGCACTCACATAGATCGTGTATGTACGCAAATACAAAATCTCACACACAGATACTCACTTGATGAAGAGGGGGCCACTGTTGTTGCTACATCCAGTTGTGAGGGCACCACCGATATTGCTCAGAGAGAGAAGGGTCATGCTTCATTTCCTAACATGGAGAAAATACAAACATAAACTGTTTTAAAATGGGAATTGTAAATCAATGCAATAAAGGCTTCTTAGTTTGCTCAGCTGGTTTAAATGGATCACCGTGTGTCTCACTTTTCATGCGTTTCCCGGAACTCCCGTATAAACCCTGGTATATGCGCAAGCGCATTAGACTGTCATATATGACAGGAATAACCTCAGAAAACTTGACACAGCAGAGCATATTAACACAAACTACACATTCAACATAAATAACGAAATGAACAAGTACAACACAAAAGGGCATGGAGAACAAAATGGGCTATGGAATATAGCGTAATACAATATAAACACAAACAAAGGAATTAGTATTAAAGTATTAATTATTAAACATTAATCATTATCCATGTGGGGCTCTGTGGAGCTCATGGCAGGTTGCTACACGTCTTGCTGTCAGTCGACAGCAGTCCTCCCTCTCTCCCAGTAGGGTGTAGCAGGAATGCTCTTATTATTTCTGCATTGGTCCCATAAGAACCCAATTTTTCCTGAAAGGAAAATTATAGGGGATATAAAACAGACTTAATGGACCACATGTAACACAATTCTGAAAATATTTTCTAAATACTACCCCATAGTGCCAAGGATCTGAAATGTTACATATATGTCCCAATGGGTATTTTTGTATAGATATTTCCCTCATTTGAGAACCAATCAAATTTGCCAATTTTTTGCTTGGTAACAAAGATATGCCTTTTTATTTCCATTTCCACAACATATACTGTATCAAAATTATTACTTTTATGGTTCAATTTAAGCAAAAATCGTTTTCAGATTTGTTTTACAAGACAAAAATGTCTTCTCCTTGGATGATCTTCAGTGCATCCTGAACACTGTATCATTCATTCTTATCCCTACTGCAAAAAAATATAATTAATGAAATTTGAAATAGGATCATTAAATTTCGTTTGTTCGTGTGTTTTATTTACTGATATGTAAATTTTTCTTCAAAATCAAGGAGTGTCACCATGGGTCGTTATGGGCTAGACTTCGATATTGGTTGCAGTGTGTTACTAAGGGCAGCTCTGTCTCAAGTAGACTTGGGGGAAATCCCCCTGATGAAGATATCGCTTTGACAAAAACAACGATATATGACATTATCGTCCAAAACAAAGCTGAAGAGAGAGACGAACACATACCTATGGACTGGAGACCCACATGTTGCAATACCCATAAGTGTCCATGCTGAGATCAATACATTGGATCAATCAACTGGTAGTAACTGCGCTGTCTCGACACCATTGAGTGTCCCGTTGATATTTTGGAAAAGCCCTGATGATTGTGGGTTGATGGCTCACAGTGATGGCTGCTCTTTGTGGATGGAGTTGACTTGCATATTCTGTTAGAATGTGAGTTTTAAGGTGGGAGCGGAGATTTCAGTTTGTTCCATCTTTAGTCCTGACTTGTTTATCACACAGCTTACCAATCACTTCGTTCAGGTTCTCTGGCTCTCCCTTTTTATTTGGGTCGAAAAACAAAGAAGCTCCAAATAGCCACATTTGCATTATTTTGCTATAACGAGAGTGGACATCTTTCCCGCTGGAGTTACAGCCACACATGTAATCACTTGGGCTGTACCGAATTGTTCAAAGCTTCACTCATAAAGTTGACATCCCAACTATTATTGATAACAAAGAGAAACATTGCGTGCAATAGACCACCGGCTTCCATCTTCTCTTCCCCCTCTAACCCCAATCTTATTTTGCTGCAACTTTTACTACTTTTGCAACACTTCTTGCGATAAATGTGTTCAAATTGGTTGGTATTTGTCTGACAATAGGAACACGCATTTGTGAATATGTCACAGGAGTTCACGGGTTAGGACCCAATCGCAAGACCACAGGAGACAGAAGTTGATATAAACAGGTTTTATTTAGCCTGAATAAAGAGAAGACAGGAAGGTGTGGAGCCCGTGGTCGAGCCACGGGTGCGAGTCCCGTGGCTCGACACCGGAGGGCTGGTAGCTTGACGGCGTGATGTCCCGTGGCTCGACACCGGAGAGCTGGCAGCTTGACGGCGTGTGTAGTCCGTTAACACCACGGAGGGCAGAGCGGTGGTGAGTAGTCCGTAAACACAAAGGAGGGCACGGGGGATTCCCGGACCGACGGACACCGGAGGCAGGCGCGCGAGGCAGAAGATGCAACGGGGTTGAAGCGGGTGAAAGACGGTACGGCCTGACAACCCCAGACTGCAGGACCAGAGTTTATATAGTGCCAGGGGAAGCGTTAGTGGGACCTGAGTCTGGTATGTCAGCCTGCAGGAGGTAATCGGCTGGAGTGGCTGCAGCTGTGTGGCCATGGGAGGTGTCTGGTCTGACAGGGATCCTGACAGAATACTAATTTATAGATCATGTAAAACACATTTGTGACCATTTTGAGATACATTTCACTCCATGCTGATGCCGGGTAATCGGACACCCTTATCTCCTCGCTGTAAACACTAGACACTGATGTTATATCGGTATTAAATTTATCCGAGGTCGCCTAAATTAATATCAATTCAGGTTTAGGTCAGACTGGCAGAATTGGTCTAATTCATAATTTATCAGAGGCTCCAATGCAAGGGCGTAGGTTTGCATAGGGTCCATAGGGACTAGTCACGACCAAAGTTTGGGAAAGACACAATTGTCCCCACCAATATTTCCCCACCAAATTCACGGTTAAACGCATTCAAACGGCACAGATCGGGAGCGAGCGAAGGACTTTGAAAGATAGCGGAAAGATTAACGTGAGACAACATCCGGTTTCTTCAGACGGACATCCGGTTTTCAGAATAAGATGCCAACAAAGTATGAATTATATTCACATTAAGTATAAAACATGCTACCTGCATCTCGTGAGTTAAAGGGAAAATACACCTAAATTGTGCGTAAAGCGTCTTTATTCTTTGATCGCTGGGTAACCATAATTACCTCTGAGTTACAGCATTATATTGATGAACAGTAGAGCTGCATTCACATGCTCTGACTGTCATGAAGACAGACATTTTTGCTGAAACGTGCTGAAACATTTTATTCCTGTTGCACAGCAGTGGAACGTTTCACATACAGTCAGCACACTGAGCACAGATAGTGAAGAGATAGAACTGCTACTGTGTAAAGGGACTACTGCTGTAAAAAATAACCTGATTTGTTTAAAGTGTTTACAAACCAAATGTTATTGACCTTTTGTTCATATAGCAGTACTTTTAAAATAAAAGTGCGCAATACACTACTTTTTAATTCATTATTGAACTTTGCCATAACAATGTGATTAATCGCAAAAAATCCATGCGATTAAAAATTGTAATCGTTGCCCAGCACTAATAATTGCATAAAGTGAAAAAGTGAAAAAAATATGAAAAAAACCCTATAGTATTTTTGTGCATCCAGGTTGCACATCCAGGTGTCCAATTTGCAGCATGTAAACAAAATATGATAATTATATACCTGATTCAATTTACTGTCATCAGAGGGAATTTCATCCATGCATCTTACGGCTTTTTGCAAGTTTTAATGGCTTGTTTTTACTCATCTATCAGGCCTAAACACACAACCATTCTAAACCCAACAGGATAGTTCGACCTCCCTCATCTCTACATTGTCTTCTCTCTGACGGCTCTCATGTCCACACCGTTCTGCTCTGTATGATTAAGCAGATAAAAGGATAATGGTAAATCATGTTATTGCAGTAACAACAGATGTAGTAATTAATCTTGTTCGTATATACACACACCAGAGTATAAACAGCTTCACAGCAGTGTTGCCAGATTAGACTGAAACCCGCCCAATTCATAAAAAAACCTGCACATTAATAACTCTCCCAGAAACCTGGACATAGAATAACAACATTAACCGTGCAATATAAAATATAAAATACGACATACGAATATAAATGCATCAAACAGTCTGATCAAGGATATAACATGTACATTTTTTAAAACTAATGTGTAGAAAAAACTTTAGTGATGCAGGATAGATGTCACTGATTATTGAATGTGGCCTGTATGAGAAATATGTGCTGAGTTCTGAGAGGAGGATAGAAGGAGGAGGAAGGGGAGGAGGAAAATAATTTAAAAAAAAACTTGCTGGCACCGCCTGCCATATTCACAGCGGATCTCAGCGATTTATCGCATCGCCACATCTAATCCTAAACTGTCTCTAAGTGGCTCCGCCGGACAGGCTGTTTACATTGAGGCTGCGGAGCTGCTCCTGACAGTGTTCACTTCACAGCAGAGGGAGTTGTCTCGCGGCTGATGCTGGGGAGATCAATCCGTTATTTCCCATCTTATCGTATCCCAATCTTCCCCTCTGCAGATCTGAGTCGACGCCGGTGACATATCGGACGCGCGCTGGATGGCTGGTGCATTTAGCGAGCCGGCGTGAATCTTTTTTTTCTTTTCTTTAATCATCATCGTTCTCTTTTGAGCCTGAAAAAACAAAACAGCAACAGAAAAACAACAATGACAGACCCGGCCAGCCAAGAGTCTTACCCTGTCCCGGACCCGACTATTGTGGATCCCTGCCCGGCAACGGCGCGGAACGGCCAGTGCGCCCCAGATGGCTTCACCAACAACCATCACCAGCAAGCCAAATCCCCCAGCCAGCCCGAGACGTTCACCACGGGCCATGAGATGAAAATCACAGACAGCGTGGAGGGAGAAGGTAACTTCATCTACCTCTGTAATGTTTGGAACAGTTTTTTTTTTTTTGTAAGTTATGGGTGCACGTATGTGTGTGTGTGTGTGTGTGTGTGTGTGTGTGTGTGTGTGTGTGTGTGTGTGTGTTATCAGGGACCCAGATGGGAGGGGTATTTTTATCTATGCGAGGTAGCCTATGTTTAGTTTGATTTGAATAATTTATGATAGTCCTACATCAGCAGAATTCAGACCAGCGTGAAGCAAAAGGTGAATTCAAAGCTTTATATCTTTAAATTGATTCCAGTCCCCAAACTATTAATTCATTCCAGTTTTACATATTGCATTGCCTCTGGGGACAGAGATTGCCCCGAGAATTCAATTGTTCCTTAAAACAAGGCATACAGGCTCGGTCTGCCTCAGAGTTAGATTCTGATACCAGTCACGTGCATTCCAAACCTCTAAGTGAGCATTTGCATTTGCTTAAGCACACATGAGTGTGCCTGTGTGTTAGAGACCACCAATTTAATCCCATTCATCTTTATATATGCATAAAACCTGTGAATCATTCCACAGTGGATAATAAGAGGGCCACAATACAATAATTTCTAGCCTGTTCTCTAGTTTGTGAATGCAGTTTATTGAGAGTAATATCATGCATGTTAACTGCATCTCATTTCAATGGATAATTGACATGTTAATTAAACTGTGTAGCTATCAGTAACATAACGACACTAATATAAATGAGCATGTCTTGAGCAATTAATAACAAATTGAAATAGTTATTATATTTAGAGTTGTGACAGCTACATTGATTGGATTTGGCTTATTTTTTAAGGCTGGAATCAACCTGCAGTATTTCTAAAAAAAATGCATTTAACTCTTTGTGTCTGCGATGTTCTCAATCCTAAAATTTCTTTAAGACCCTGGTCAGCTGTCAAGTAACTGTTAGTGGCACTCCAGTGACTTACAGTTGCACTTTCACAAAGTCTGGAAACCAAGGTTACGATATTGTAACCCTAGTTCTATAAGCAATACGGCCCTCTACTGGACTCTATGGGACATTACTCTCCTCCAATCACGAGCATGCCATAGCCCACTCAAAATTTGCATAAGTAAAAGAGCCCGACATGTCCAAGAGATTGAACTGTATGAATGGACAAGACGTCGACCACGAAGCAGTCGTACATATTGTCCTCGACACTTACCCTGGCGGCAACCTTCTTGGTTCTGAAGAGTGAATCCCATACGAAAGTGTCTTAAACTTGCATTCTCTACTGGCCAGCAGAGGGCGACTCCTCTGGTAGCAAAAAAAGTCTGATTGTATAGCAGTCTATGAGAAAATGACCCTACTCACATGATTTATTACCTCAGTAAACATTGTAAACATTAGTTTATGGTCTCAATTGCTAGTTTCAAGTCATCTTCAACACAGCGTTATGTTCATTTATAAATTATGGTTCTGTTAAGAATAAAATAAACCATAAAGGGGAGTATGCTTTAGGGCGGGGCTACCTTAGTTCGCTACCCTAACAGACAGTTCGCTACCCTACCAGAGCTGTATACGGCATCTCACGTCACTCCTCAGCCATCCAAATATGGTCACTTCCCTTCTCTGGTTGCAAAAATCATCCAAGATGGCGACGGCCAAAACGCTGAACTTGAAGCTTCAAAATGGCAGTCCACAAACCAATGGTTGACGTCACAATGACTACATCCACTTCTTATATACAGTCTATGGACTTACCCCACTGAACAACGCTGCCGACACTGCCATGCTGCGTGTAGAGTGTGCGCGTACCACAGCGGGAAGGGCTCTTCCTGTCTGCCTTTAGGCTTGGGAGATGGACTCTCAAGGCAATCCCACCAGGTGTTTCTTGGGTAGGGCTTGATTGGTCACATCATCCCAGAAGCACACCAACAGCTGTTCAGTGCACCTGATGGGGACCATGCGGTCAACATAAACTGCCAACACACAAACTGGGCTTAGCAGATGTAACTTTGCCTCCCATTCCCCTGCATGTGGTGGAAGACAAAAAGCATTAAGCTGTATAATCCTCTAACTGAAAGAACTCCTTAAGTTCTTGGTAATAATGGAGGGATTTGGTCTATGGGCAGCCTTGCTACGGTCACCACGAAGCAGCGAGCAACTAGAGTGCACTGACAGGGTGGTTAGTTCACACTTCTCTTAGCTGAGGTCAAAGCCTCGAGCACCAATGGTATTTCCCACTGCAGCAAGGTCCTCACTGTCAAGATGCTCCCTCCTATAGTAATTTTTGCAGTGTCGGCCCGCTCCAAGCAGGACCCTCCTGCTGACTCGGACCCCTCTCTATGCTCATCTAAATCAGTTCATCTAGGTCCTGTGGACAGTGATGCTGGGGAGCTTCAGCCGAGGCGGCCCGGGAAGTGGAGGCGGCCGGAGGCATGGGCGCTCTATCGTGCTGGCGCTCTCTCCTTTTCACCGTTGTGTCGTTACTCTTCGCTTCAGCTTTCCTCTGAGGAAGAGCGAGCAATAGATGACAGCTGAGCTGAGATTTCTCCTCGTCCAGACGTTTAAAGTGCTGAGTGTCCGTGAGCCCAAGCGGCATGATGCACAGTCCCTGGGGATCATCCCGGTCTATCCTCGGAAGTGCTGTGAGTCCTAGCCACACATAGCGATGGCCAGAGACACTCCCTAAATCAGATTATTCATTTTGCTAATGCTGGGGTCCAGAATGATAGTCTGAGACGGCCGGGCTTGGCTTATGCCAGCGAAACACCCTTAACACACCCAGGGTGTTAGCAGCTAGCTGCACTCCTAGTTGAAATATTTTGTCAAAAGTTGATTTACCTAAAAAACAACAACTTACAGAGGTCTCTTTCCCAATGTAAGTCTATGAGAAAAAGTCCTTTTGGGCCTAATGGCATCGCATGACGAATTCAGAATTCCACACTTGGGCCTGTAAGAAAATGGGCTTCAAAGCCCGGCGCTCTTCCTAGTGGTTTGGGGTAAGCTCCGAAAACATTGGATCCTACACTTGTCATAATGTGAATTCTGTTAAAAAGTTGTTGTCTCTAAACACAACCCAAGGTAATCCTGATGACATCCCATGGCATCACCAGGGCTATTCTATCGGGCTTGACAAAGCTCCTCTTTAACCAAAAATGTCATTATGAAATTGTTTTAACAGGCTGAGTAGTACTAAACACCACCCCTTCTCACTATATTATGATGTTACATGTAATAAGTAAAGTTAAAACAGGCAGAACTTGCCAAATATTGGTTTCTCTTCATGGCCGAAGTGCCCACTTTAAAGATTACAATGCAAATGTAAACGTAAGATGTAAATCTGTAATTATGTTAAGATGTGACAGAACAGGCAGAAATGGTAAATATATAAAAGACAGAGATAATTTCACTTAATATAGTCGACATCGAGTGTTTAAACTAGGATATGCAATGTACATACAGTGCAATTTATTAGAATTATAAATTAGAATAGAATTGGTCAAGCCATAATCTAGTTTATAAAAAAAAAATCATACCACCCTGTTTGGCCACCCCAGATGTAAACTTGTGTTACTTTGCTACTGACGTGACAGGTAAGGTGATGTAAATAAAGGTCATTAATTACATCGCCTGAGAATGAGGGTCGATCACAGAGATATTAAAGGTGATATGAGCGGGCATCAAGGAGGAAACTTTATTTTCAAAGCCAAGCAATTTAAATAGATGCGACACATTCACAACCTCCCGGTCTACATTTCCTCCCCCGCTTTCCTCATCTCTCTCCTATTTACATAAATGTTCCTGCCATTGCTGTTTGAAAACCTCTGAATTTTTCTGAACATGCCAGTGGTTTCTATCCATCCATCTAGATACCTGCCAGATAGCACAGGTTCAGTGGCTGGCTTTCAGATAAAAAAATAATTTAATTGATCTCCTGGTCACACTGATCCTAGAAAATATATTCAATCATGTTTCCTGGCAAATGTGCTGCCTGATGTTAATTATTTTTAGAAAAGAAAGGTGTCGCAAACAAGTGTTGATACACACACACACACACACACACACACACACACACACACACACAAACTCGTGTGTGTGCCACAGAGAGATGAATGAGGACATATTGAGCACATGCCTTCTGTCTGATCCCCCAGCCAAGGATCATGTGATCATGTCTCACTTCCCCCCTCTGTTGCACACACACACACACACACACACGCACACACATGCACATACACAGCTTAAATGTTTTTTGTTTAAATGAATGTCCTAAAATGTAAGCATTTAACTTGAACACCACAGTATAACTTTTTGAGTAGCTTCTATTGTGCAGTTTGATGAACTGAGTTTTTGTATCTGCAGCTACACACAAAAAGGTAATCTTGAACTGTATGATGATTATTATCATTCTTAATTAACAACCCTTGATGAGTGTTTGTTGGAATATTCCCCTCACTTAAGCTTCACTTGTGATCTGACCGTATCTGGGCTGAAAACAATGCTAATGTCCATAGAAAAACACGCACTAATATTGTTATCAGAGCGTGTCCAGTCATGGTGTTGTAAGGCATGTGGTTTGCAATCAGTAACCCTTTCACAGCCAATCGATTCAACCAACAAAACAAATTTTTCGATCAGCCTGCATGCTTTTTAAGTGAAAAATTACCAGAAATTATCTTATGATTGGAAGTGTGTAATTGTGGCTCAAAATGTTGCTCCGTGTGACTCTCACACTCCCTCACAAAGACATATACACACACACACACACACACACACACACACACACACACACACACACACACACACACAGTGCACACCACATGTAAAATACATCGCACATACCATTTCACTTTCATGTATGCACTTATAACAGTTGTAGGTGCAAATTGCCTCGACTAAACTAAAATCAGTTGAAGACTAGTACATTGCTTGGAGTGCAAGGGGTCTGGCTGTCCATCAAAAGCAGTTGGCAGCGTACGCTGGTGTGAAGCCAGTCCCAAGTCCAAGTCCCTCTGGACACTCTCCCTCTGTCTACACCCACACTACACTCAAACAGTGGGAGTTAACAATAGCAAGGCCTGCATGTCTGGTGAACTGGTCATCCCGGAGAAATGCAAAGATGAAATGGAAAAAAAATGTAATAAATGTATGATTATTAGTTGGTTTATACTGTTGTGAAAAGGGCTGTTTTATACAAGATTGTATTTTTGATGACACGAATGGTAGGGGTACAAAGTGTACTTAACAAATACACTACGGTATTAACAGGTATTGCCCCAGTAACAAGCTTTTCTACAAGAATAAGGATGCTGTTGATTTATCAAACTTGAAGCTACTAAGAGGAACTTTTGTGTTGATTTTGACGGTTCCTGTGGACGAAAGCTGTAGCGTTTTGGAGCACCAGATTACCTTTAGAAAACCTCAAATTTTTCTGCAGCAGGGTCTGCCAGTTTGCTCCATGCAGTCCTGGTTCTGGTTCTCTCGTGCCTCCCTTCCCCCCAGCGGGCCCAACAATACGGCCTGGGTCCGCAGCAGTGTGGTGTCAGTGTTGGGTCCCAGCGGGATTTAAAGGAGCCTTTATGTATGTCGGTTCGTCTTATTTTGCAGGGAACTGATCCAACAACAAGCATTAAGAATAACTATATAGGAATAGTCTTCTCGCTGATGGTCTCCATTACTTATGTAGGTCATATAGATGCGTCGGTATTAAATTGAGACTGTTTCATAACCAGTTTAAAATTATTTACAGTAACTTTTACGCATAAAGGTCGGTTCTCAAGTCACGGGGAGCACGATCCAGAACAGTTGTACAGAGTCTTCTGTGGCTCTGGAGGAGCTTTGTCAAGTCCTTTCAGAGAGCCTGCACAACAAACTGGACGTTGTCCGATGTGGTTATGTACCAGACAGGAAGAGCCAGACAAAAATGTATTATTGATTGCATCATGGGAAACGTAGGATCTAGCATTTTTGGAGCTTGACAAAATACTAAAAGGCATGATATGACGGCCTCTGCTGCATTTATTTCTACCACTCTTTTAAAATCTGTCTTTTGCGGGGAAAGTTTGTAACACTAAAGCACCATTGTTCTCCTTTAATTCTTAAAGGGTTTCCTTTTAGATGAAGTGATGTGAGACCCTGAAAAATATTTATATTTACAATTAAATATTTACAACAAAAATAACCCAGTTTGTGTCAAACAGAGTGGAGGATTCTGCAATATCCAATATTCATATTTTTAAAGCAGGGAGCGAAGAGGCGAAGGTCTACTTAGTGGAAGCATGTAAAAGTATATGTAAATACACAATCTTGTATAATAGCTCTCTTACTGCAATAACTGTGTATCTGTGTTGAAGCTTTGTTCATCTGCGCCAGTGAGAGAAAGTAGTATGATGGATAGAGCTCAGCCTGGTGGATTGATACAGGTGTAACGTGGCTCTCTTGGATGCTTGTATGCTCCCATGACCTGTAATATGCAGTATGATGAGGGTCCTCAAAACCTCAAAACACTGGCTCTAGATAGGGTCATTTGTGTTTAGCATTGGCCACTTCAGATCTCCTACACGCTTGTCACACGGAGAAGTTTCAATTGTAATCTGCAACTTCACCACTACATGCTGCTAAATCCTACCCACAGATAAAGTACTGATTACTCAAGAGTCTCATCCCTATGCGATACAAGTGTTAAACACTTGTACTGCTTGATGAGATCACACAATAAAACACTGCATAAAACAAACACAGACACAAATAAGGAAGGAATTGTCTTTGTAACAGAGTGTGTTTGTCTCACTGCAGGTCTCCTCGAGAGCAGCATGCGCCTGAAGCCCCACGAGGCCCAGAGCTACAGGAAGAAGGTACTCTGGGTCTCCTGGTTCTCCATCGTGGTCACGCTCATACTGGCGGTGGCAGCCTTCAGTAAGCATTTAAAATTCTTATTTATAGGCATTGCAACTTGGGCAGAAGTGCTTTAGAGTGACTTGTAAACAGTGTGTGTGTAGTAACAAGACTGGCGGTGTCAGTTTTTTTCTCACTTCCCTGTTGACTAAAGGGAGATGTTGTCATCTAAACGTCTGTTCCAGTAATGGTGCAAACGTAGTTTTACAAACCTCTGTCTTACGATGTGAGGTTGGAAAAAATGCTTATGGTCACACGGGACCATAAGCATGTCTTACATTGTCTTACAAAGGAAGAAAAAAAAACATAACTATAGTTGCATTCGTTATGTATTTGAAGTCAAAGGTCAGAAATACTACTTTTGACGCTAACAGTTCACGCTAACAAACTTTACATTTAAATTAAATATAAACGTTAAGCTTACATGGAAGGTTGTAGCAGAATATGATGATGGTCAACTGTCCAAAAAGCAAATGAGTGAATCAGGGCAATTCATTGTGAGAACAGAGAAGTTGGGACATTTAGACAAATTAACACAGCGACTGGTCTCCCGTGGAGCGGGGCCTGCGCTTTCTTGCTTTTTATTCAGGAAATTTGGTATGGCGCATTACACCGTTTGATTCAAGGAAGCACTGTTGGTTCAACCATTGTGTTTGATTGAGGAAGTCAAAAACTATTTTAGCAATATATAACACTTTCACACAAGTGAAAGAGACATTTCTTGTCCAAAAAGTGGCACAAAACAACAAGAGATGCGGTGAAATTGTACCGTTTACTGTGTGAGGTAGAAGCTTTAATCACATTTACAACAACAAACTGCAGACTAACAATAAACCTCTCAATGTGCTGCCTCAGGCCTGTCCTTTCAGTCACAGTCAATTCGCCCACCTCCTTAATTATCTGACTAATGATCCAACACCCAGGTTTATCAACTATTCTCCCCACTCTAAGGTGATGGATCCATTCCTAAAATGGTCATACTTCCATCCTGACAAATGCCATGCTGTACTTTCCAGACTCCCTGCCTTTTGTGTGGCAATAAGACTGATTCCCTGAAGGTAAATTTATGTATCATACGAGACAATCTCAAGTTTGGGAGGATTCACAGAAAGCAGGTAAAGGTATGGGAATATGAAATTGTCGAATTCTTCAGTATTAAAGGGGAACTACAACCAATTAAAAAATGTGTACAAGTTATTTCTGTGGTCTAAGACAGTCTAAATATATTAACATGAACAACTCTCTGCCAAATCCCAAAACTACAATGCTAAAACTCAAATGTGTGATGTCATCAAGTATGAATTCTGGAGCTGCTTCATAGACGCATTACATTGTCTTATGATGTAGAGGATGTCTAAGTTGTGCCACACTGTTGTGAGTGCAATGGGTGGTGTTGCTTTGTCATCCTGGCTAAGCATCAGTTTCAAGTCACGATGTGTCCCAATCTATTCAGACTTATCCTTGATGTGCTGACTAAGCACACACTTGCTTTTTTTTTTTTTTTAAGTGATGCAGCTGCATGGATTCACACTCAAAGTCTATAACAATACCCTGTTCAATTTGAAAAAAAAATGTATCTCTATCTGAGAATCTCCACCAACGGCTTGAATACTACTTTTGCAAAGGCACGCCATATTTTTCTCACAAGCCAATCAAAGCAGATTGGATTTTTTCAGTAGGGGTCTTAAAGAGACAGGCGCAAAAACGGAGCGTTTCAGACGGAGGGTGAATACAGGTGTATTCAGACAGACAGTATGAGAAAAATAATGTGCTCTTTGATCATTAAAGCATGTAAACATGTTCAAATACAATCCCAAAATACAAGTTCTTAACACGAAAATGAGCATAAAATGTCCCCTTTAACTGTTTTATTTCACTCTCATGGCTCTTATAGTGTCTCTTTTTGGCTGCTGATGGCAGATGCTCAAAAAACCCACTATGCTACTAGCCAAACGGATAAAGTTAGCAACTGGCAAACATATAGTGGAGAATTTAAAAGCTAAAGAGATATTTTTTCCTAGAAGTTAGCGGAAACACAAAACTAAGCTAAAAACAGATGATAGTTCGCCATATCAACTTAAAAGTTTAAAACGTGTCAGTGTGTTGTGTTCACAGACTGTTCCCATGGCCTCCAAGAGGTCCAAAAAATCTTTGAGTAAGATGAGAAATAGTTGTGATGATGAAGCTTTTTTTTGGTTCTTCATATGAAACTTAGGTGAAACTTTAATTAATATGAACACCGCCACAATTATTATTGGCATAATTGTCATTCTCCTCAAGCAAAACCATTGCAAGGAGGCATGGAAACAGACTCTGTTTCTTGTGTGTGAACTTTTTTAGAAAAAGAAAAAGAGTCCAAACACAAAGACTTGAACGGACGATGACCACTGAAAAGCGAGGGAGACAGCCCGGCTACTGGGAGACCAAAAGGAAGAACAAGGGAGGGACAGGGTGGTGCAGGGAAGTGTAGACAGGCTCCCCCTCCGCCAATCATAACTGCAGCCTCTAGAGGATGGGTCTGCTGCACTGGGTCAGGAAATTAATAAATGAATGCGGAGCTACCGTCTTCCACACACAACATGGAGAGGGGTGAAAAAGAAAGAAAACACAGAGAGACTGGGTGCTGAAGAGGAGACAGCTTAGCGAAAGGGAGCATAGAGGAGAGACAGATGGATACGGAGGTGCGGAGTGAAGCTCTGAAAAGTGCGACGGTACCTGGGAGACGAGGCAGGATGAGTCCTGGCAGGCAGTGTTGGGGATTTAGTGGTTGTGATGGCTCAACTTTAAAGAATGGCAGCGTGCTATTTCCTTCTGCCTGTGCCCTAGTTTCTCTTTCTCCCATCCGCATGTTTCCTTACCCTCTTACCTTACCTCCTCTGTGTGTGCTGTGTCACCATATCCCTCCCTCTTTGCCCCCTTTACTTTTTCTATATGTAGAACTAGATCCACTATACTCTATGCGGGCAAAGTCAAAAGATGGTTTGATCCTCAAAAGCCGTCCAGTGTCTTGTACATGTTTTTTTTATCGAGTTTTCCTCAGGTGGAAATTTTTTAAAGCAGGGTAAAAACCTTTTCTCTTTTTCCCCTCCTTCTTCTCTATATTCCTTTTTTTCTGTCTTTAAGGAAAACTGCAAACAGCCTCCGCTCTTCCGTGACCTTTAGCAGTATTTTAACATTTAGAAGGGATGAGGGTTCAAAGCCGATCCCTTTCTGCTCCACTTGAATGTCTCGGTCCTAACTGGCTGCTCCGCTTTAGCTCGCAACCTTTTCTTGAAGAGCTGTCTTTTGTGCTCCCTTAGCTATAGCCACTCACCTTTGAAAGTGGCACAACTCTGCGAGGCTTTATCAGACATATCAGGCTCAGAGAGTGAGCTGAGGCCACGCTTCAAGAGGCAAGAGGTATGAAGACAACGTCGCATTTCCTCGATGTAGTTATCGGTCATGTGAGCACACACAGACACGGATCTTGATGGTACGTTTTTAAGTTGAGCTTTGAGGAAAACATAAAATGACAACAACCAACAATTTCCGTTGGTTATGTACTTAAATGAGAGATGAAGCAGCAGACACTACCACCCTCCCACATATGCTTATTTCTGTTGTTTTATGTAAATAAGGGTCTGAGACAACAAATGTTAGTCCCAAATATTTAAAGCAGTAGGTAATTGAGATCTGGCATTCTATTATACTACATTTGTGCAGTGGTGGGCCGTCAGGGCCAGCAAGGCCTTCTCTGCTGGCCTAGACAGAATCACAAATAAATAAATAAATAAAGCCTTATTCTCCTCCCCTTTCGACACATTCTCACTCCCAACACATGAAACAGACGTTTGAGTCAGTGCCCCTCAGCTTCACACTTGTTACTCCTCTAGCGTCAGTTTTGGTCATGTGAGGGACGGCGTGTCAGTTTCCACTTGTTACATGCATAGTGTCTTTTCAGAGTAAACTTTTGTCTCTACACGAAGTTAGGTTTAGGCAAGAAAAGCACTTAGTTAGGTTTAGGAAAAAAATGTGGTTGACATTAACTTGACTGACTAAGGACTTACGTGATTAGCGAGTGATTTTAAAGTGTAGTCCGTTGAAAGCAAGTTGTGCCGAGACTGGGTTGACCCTTCTGCTATCTACACATTTTGCAAGGGCACCGTTGCAGCATCCTCTGCTTAGCCCCGCCCAAGACAATTGTGATTGGTTTAAAGAAAAAATACAAACAAGCCAGAGTGTTTTTTCCCCCCTATACTAGAATAATAATATGTGGAGCCAGACCTTTCCTTTCCTCAGCAACGTGGAGATAGTTCTGGCTATGCGAGACTACCTCTGTGCTGAACTATAAAAAGCCTTCTTATTAGAAATCCCAACCCAAAGCATGTAAGTAGCTGAATAGATACAGTTTCATTATCAGGTATAAAGTGGGGTTTTTCGGAATTGTGTTTGTGTAATGCATTTCTATTGTGCTTGCTAAGCGGCCCACAGGAAAAGCTGTTCCATATTCAGAGTGGGGGGATAGACGGCACACCAACAAGGATGATTTTCAGATTGCCTTTCAGGCTTTAGGAGCTGGCCTGTGGACTAATAGGTTGCTGCACGATCAATCAGTGGCACTGCCAACAAGCATTTAATGTTTGAGCAACGAGATGGGGCTAGAGAAAAAGAGGGAGGGAGCAGGGGGAGGGGGGGTGCTGGTGTAGGGTGATATAACAGAGAGAGGGAGGAAATGGGATTGAGTCTGGTGAAGAAAGTAGGAACAAGAAGTACGGTTGAGAAGGACGGCAAATTGGGGGACACAACCTTGCTGTGTGGTAATAAAAGAAATTGGATCTTGCGCGTGAAAGACGAAGAAAGCAAAAAGGACTCACTTAGTGACAGAATATAGAGAAAGTTATAGAGTGACAGGAGGAGATGGAGGTAAAAGGATGAAATAAGGTCTGATGGGGAGAAATGATTAAGCACCTAAAAGACAGGACAAAAGAGAGAAACCAAGAAACCACTTGGCCAAGACACTCCTCTCTTTTTCTCTCCTTATT